TATATATAAATACATGTATATATATATACTTTTGTGACATTAGGATAAATTAGTGGTGTCAAAGTAACCTTCAGAAAATAAAATATCCCAATTGAAAGTGTACCAGAACTGGCCTACTATAAACAACTGCATCCCCACCTCAACGCTTAAAGGCAACAGAGGATGAAAATGTTAAAGTAAAGTAGAGTAAGTTGGTAGTCTAGGGGTTACGACTCCGGCCTCGTAGTTGTGAGAGATACGGCGCAATTTGATTTTTTAAATATATTCTCGTAACAATTTTTATCATAAGACTATTTATTTAATGACAGCAGTTTTCTGGAAATGCACAGATTTAAGGATAGTACCTTTTAAAATGGATCGAACCCTCTCAGTTTTAATATTACTGATTGAAAACGTTTGATGCCGTCTTGGCGGCCAGTTCAAATGTTTGTGGAGGTGAACATTTTTAAATCCTGCCAGCTAGAGCCAATGTGGACTGAGTGGGATATACCATACTAGCAGAAAGACGGAGATACTCTATAGAATAGACCTCCCAACACGGACATAAAACTTATTGTCATTTATTATGGCTAAAAAGCGAAAGCATATAGGTTTAACATATCAACAAAATTAGGCTATTTAAGAGGCGAGACCTCCAAATTTAACGTCTGTCTCCTATATGACTTAGTAAAATTGATTGGGAGCCTTAAACAATTCAACCAAACGACCCTGAGTTCAAGAACATCCAATCTGGAATTTGAATCAGGGCCGTCTGTTTCATAGTCCACCCCTATACCAACTGAGCTCACGAGGCGCCCTTTTTTCTTGCTGCCGTAGCGAAAATCCTAACACAACACAACAGACGCCAGATACGAGATACACTAGCGAACTGTGAAGCACGAAAAGACCTTTTTTGTCTCCATTATATAGTCCCATATTCAAGTACAATAAAATTCAGAACTAGTGTGCTGAATCACACGATTTGAGAAAAGTATATCATTCAGCATACTTTGTGTGAATTTCACTGCACTAAAATAGTATTAGTTTCTAACATGGTGATACAGATGGATCTAGTTTTTCGCAATTTTTAAATTTAAATTTTTGTTTTTTGTTGTTGTTTTTTTGGGAGGAGGGGGGTAGATCTACTTTTGGGTGTGTGGGGAGGGGGGGTGCTCGCTACTATGTATTGTATGAGTAGGAACAGTTTAACAGAGTTACTCTTTTTTACGTGAAAAAAAAGTTCAAGTTACATGGCGGTAGGGATTCATAATACCATATTTTATCTCGTCCATGTGTGTAACAGAGTGACGCGAACAAATTATTTCCCTTACATCGTTGTACTGGAGCTTCTTGGGAAACCTGTAGCCTGTAGCTATCTGACACAACCGCAGGACGCCCAAATTATGAATTAAGTCAACCCATAGCATTCGCAAAAACTACGTCTAATTAAAAAAATTCGAATTGAATTTTTCATTTTGGGTAACCCACTTTTCTTTTCCAAAAACCCGACATCATCTCCACTAACGATATGGTATATTAAAAGCTTACACTGGTATAATTTTCATTTTCTTTTTCGATCATCACTTCTCTCTCTCTCTCTCTCTCTCTCTCTCTCTCTCTCTCTCTCTCTCTCTGTCTGCACTCCAAGCTCAATGCTTTCTCCAACAAAGAACGTAAAAAAGGGCGAACGACGGAACAGGATGAACAAAGGGGCGGAGGTGCTCGGGGAGGATAAAAACGGAAAAGATGGAAAAAATTAAGAGTTAGTAAAAGAAGAAAAGACACAAGCGGATAATTAGAGAATGTCAGATGTACGCCATTGGCCGATATTTATAGTAACAGCCATCTTGCTTGTGTCATAAAATAGTGTTCTTCATTCTGACAAAAGACAAAAGAAGTTCCAGACCTACTGTCTCAATGTCTGATCTGAAAAAAAAATAATGTGGAGTAAAAAAAAGAAAGCTTTTTTTTATTTTAGCAAAGTGTTATGATAATGCTCATTGTATTATGTATGTTAAAAAATAGGTCAAACAAGATGGCTGTTACTATAAATATCGGCCAATGGCGTACATCTGACCTTCTCTAAATATTCGCTTGTAAAAAAAAAAAAAACAGGGCTGGGGTGGGTGTAAGAAAACAAAGAAGAAACAAACAAAAAAAGTTCAGAGAAGAAGAGAAAAAAATAAGAAAGAGAAAAAAAGAAAAAGAAAGACAAGATAGTCCCGAGCTGCCTGTGCCAACATTGAGCTTCACTTACGGGGCATAGGCGTCAAATCTGTTCTCATCCAGTTCCTTCTTTGGGTGATAGCCTGCCGCAACTTCTTTCTTGTCCACTGGGAAGGGATGGAGGGATGGGAGGAGGGGGGGGGGGGGAGGGATGAAGAGGATAGGGGGAGGAGGTAAGAAGTGGGAAGTAGAAGATTGGGGGGGGGTATGGTGATTAATGAGAACGTGTCTGCTGTTGTTCCTGTTGGTGTCTGTAGTTATTGTTGTAGTCGTTGTTCGTGTTGTTGTCATCGTTATTTTGTGTGTTGTTGTTAAGGTGAACTAGGTACAGCTGAAATGAAAATTTTTGTTTGGGCTCTAAATTAAGTGTACTGGGATTCCCAATAACCAGTATGGGTCAAGAAACAAAAACACACTATCCCTATATGATTTCACTGTCAATTTTTTGAATTTTTAAGATGCAAAGGGTTCGA